ATATGCTGTTGTGGTGACCCTGCCCTAGTTGGCAAAAGCTAAATAAATAAATAAATAAATAAATAACAAACTGTTTAGCTCGTCGTAACATGCCGATGCCTTGAGATACTTTGTTACTTATGTTGTCTATTTTTTTCATCCCAGCGTAATTGACCATCTATTATTATGCCTAAGACTTTTTTAGAAACGACTTGTGTTAAGTTTTTCCCACCGATGTTAATATTAATTTTACTTGAGAAATTTTTAAATTTCTGCCGTGTCCCGATAATCATATACTCTGTTTTGCCAACATTCAAAGTTAATTTATTGGCTACTATCCATTGATGGATAATATTGTTCAAGTCCGAATTTAAATTGGCTTGTAAATTGTTAATATCATCGGAACACGCCGTCAAATTCGTATCATCCGCATACATTTTAGCACTAGTGTGTCTTAAACAGTTCGGGAGATCGTTGACATGCAAGAGAAATGACAACGGACCGAGATTTGAACCCTGTGGACCTCCACAGCGTATATTTTTTGTTGACGATGCTGCACTTCCCACCTTGCAAAACTGTTTTCGATCAAATAAATATGAAATAAACCACTTGAGGGCAGTATTTTGAACCCTGTAAATTTTTAACTTCTTAATGAGGATTTTATGATCAACCGTATCAAATGCTTTACGCAGATCAAGAAATACAACTCCGTCTACAAGCCCAGCATCCATATTGACTAGCCATGAATCGCTATTTGACAACAAGGACGACATTGTTGAGTGGTTCTGACGGAAGCCTGACTGACACGGGCTTAGAATGTCATTTGCATTTAGATAATCTGTTAACTGCATGCATACGAGCTTCTCAAATAATTTAGCGACAGTTGAAAGAACAGATATCGGTCTATAATTACCCCTTTCTTTTTTATCACCTTCTTTATAAATTGGTGAGACTCTTGCCACCTTAGGTTATCGGAGAATATCCCACTACATAGGGAAGTATTAAATATGTATGCCAAGAAGGGTGCAATTGTCTCTTTGGAGTCTTTTAACAGTTTAAATAATCAATTTAAGCAAAGCTATAAATTGCGGTTAATGGAGTAATATGTTCTGAAGGCTCTATCTGCCCGAGGGTGTTTTCAGTCTGCCAACGCATCTGCGTCACAACAATTAATCCGTACCAGGTACGTACAAGGTCCAAGTACCTTGGCAGAACAAGGGAACCGTTTCTAGCCCTGTTAATATTACAAAATATCTGATAAATATCGAACTTTGGCTGCTAAGCATGTGAACAACTGATGCAAACTTGGGATTAACCAATCAGAAATTATCCTGAAGGTTTTTTCCTTCACGTGCATACGTACAATGGCCCCCTCTTTGCGCAAGGACTTTTGATCGCAATGTCGACGTGCACTGCTCATTCGCAAGACTTTAGCCAGTGCGTTAACATCTCTGGCAAAATTTTTGGCTAATAATTTATGGGACCAAACCTTGGCAAAGAAGTGGAAATTTAAAAAACCCACCCACCTCCCAAAAATCATGTACACCGATCTGCGTCTCTACAATATGGCGTGTTGTAAGGACAGTTAATTAGAAAAATGAATATTCCTGTATATAGTTAGCACGTTACTCATAGATTTGTAACCTACTTATGTGAAGAAATGCAATAAATAATTATATACTGGCAGGGAAGTGCTGTCCGATGGACAACACTTCACCACGTGAAGCGCAATCACTGCTCATTCAGGTCGCACTGAAGACCTGAATGAGCAGTCCTAGAGACTCGATGTGGTCAGTCAGGTTATCAGTTGCGGCCCGGGGTAATGTGCCCTATACCAATAGTTGTTCACCAGTCCAACTAGGTCTCAATGTCGACGGCCTGACGTATCTGAACGGGGGTTCGCCTGTTCCCTGTTATCTAGAGGTCCGCCTGTTCCTCTAGAACAACCTACAGTTTTTGCGTGTATCCTCAGCCAGCTTTGAGTACCCTGGGTAATGTGCCCTATACCAATAGTTGTTCACCAGTCCAACTAGGTCTCAGCTCGCTGAACGACATGCACAGAGTCAAGCATGCCCTCTGCAGTCTAGAGATTCGCCTGTTTCTCTAGATAAAACTTAGGTTAGCGAGAGCCTCTAGACAGTTCGGCCGGAACTGTTTTCGAGCACTTCTCTGCCCAAAATATATGCCACAAAAATGTGTTCCAAGTTATTGTTGTCTTGCTTAGTTGCCAGTTGTTCGATTTTAACTATCTGTCTCTTTTCCAACATATTCAACTTCATTAACTGGGATATTATCTGGGCCTGTCGATTTAGACGAGTTTAACTTTTCCAGTTCATTAAGTACAATAGTGCTATCAACAGTCGCAAATTCAAATATTCCAGAAGCTTCATGCGTCATGTAACTTTCAAAATCCTGGCTACTTATGCTTGTTATTTGGTTTTATAAGGTTGGACCAATGTTAGAAAAATACTCATTAAACAGTTCGGCTATTGTCTGGCTCTCGACAACGTCTCCCTCGTCAGTTTTAATGGCTTGTACACCAGTACGTTTAAACTTTCTATTTAGCAGACAATTTAAGTGTTTCCCATGTTTTCCTCAATTGATTTTATATAATGTTTCCTTTTAGCGCAAATGACATCTTTGTTTATCTTATTACGTGGAGCCTTGTAAGCATTATGATACCACAAAGAATTATTTTTACGCTTTTTTCAAAAGATAGTCTCTACGATTCATATCGAGTTTTATTGTATCAGTAAGCCACGGCGTCTTTTGACTCCTCACTCTCTTGCTCCGTAAAGGAGCATGGATCGTTAGTTTCTCTGTTTAAAAGGGTTAGATGATGAAATAGATCATAATTGAAATGTTGTTGATTAAAATTTCGATAATTCCTTACGTTCACGGTTTTTATCTCTTTTTAATAAAAGATATCTTCCTGAAAACATAAATTAAACTATATGCAAAACTCTCGATCTGCAGTTATAGTCAAGCAGATAGAGGATCAAAATTATGGAAAACTCACCATATCGAGGGGCAATTCCATTTTGCGTTCATATGGTGCCCTGATGGCCAGCAAGTACGTTTCTGAATGTTGGCCCCGTTAAAATTTCTTGTGGGCTCCTGCCGACACGTTTTTCTTCGAATGTTGTATTAAACTCTATTACAGTTAAAAAATGTGAAATTTCAAATACATTTCTAACACAAATGACTTACATGAATAGACAGCTAACAAAAAACTACATATAAGACATTTAAATGGATAGTTAGGATTTATAAGCCAAAATAAGCCAAAATCTCGCAAAATACCTGGGTACTAGTCTGAAAATACGCTTTCAACCGCTCATAACTCAAGAAGAACTTGAAAAACCTGGGTAACTGTTTAAATGTGTTATATGTCGTTTTTTGCAAGCTTTGGAATGATGTAAGTCATTTGTGTTAGAAATGTAGTTGAAATTTTACATTTTTTAACTGCAATAGAGTTTAATACAACATTCGAAGAAAAACGTGTCGGCAGGAAGAAATTTTAACGCGGCCAACGTTAACACCTCGATATGGTGAGTTTTTTCCTTCTATCTGCCCGACTAATATTATCCGGTTTGCTTACAATGGCCACGTCAAGAGGAGTAGCTGTGGTATCTGTGATACGTGTTGGTTGTTTAACCAACTGAGTTAATTGGAATACATTCATTAAGTCGATCAGCCTTTTCGTCTGGTTGTTAGCAGCATTTTTTATGAAGTTACAGTTTAAGTCACCTACAAGTATCAGCTCTTTTCTTTCGTTGTCTAAATTTTGAAATAATGTTTCAATTTTCTCAAACAATTCAATGCTGGAGTTTGCTGGTCTATACACTGACACAACAAACATGGGCTTGGATTTAGGCTTTATTATTTCAAGGCAGACTGCTTCTACTTCCGCGGCAACTAAATCGGTTCTACTTATAACATTGAGAGTGCTTCGGTAATAAAGTGCAAAACTGCCACCCTCTCGGTTACGGTGTTTAGCTACCATATCATAGCCCTGGATGCCAACGGTATCGCTAGCTATATTTGCGTCCAAGCGGCTCTCATTTATACTTAGTATATCAAATGGTTCGTCTCTCATATAAACTCTTAAAGTGCCTATATCACTTGTGGGATCTTTACGGATTTGAAAAGAGCGCAAAAAGTTATTTAACAAGTTCTTCAACTTTTTTTGATTTAGGTCAATAGTTTCTGAGTTATAGGCCTTCAAACATGGCAATTTTGACGTTTTTGGAAAAAAAATCCGTCGTACTAAATTTTGCTTTGGGGCCTGGGACTCAGGAACGCGAGCGTAAACAAACACTATAAATTATATTACAAATTGCCGCTATAACTTACTAAAATGATAATTTTGGCAAGAAAACTCGGTTTATTTAGCTCAAAATCGTCTTCCAGTACTGAAAAAAGTTCATATACGATTGCGCGAAATATAAAATCGTGGTGAAACGCACAAAACGACTTCAAAATCAAATTTGAAAGTGAGCTTTCCTAAATGTCGTCAAGCATTGGCTGCATAATTGTCGAGCATGAAAGAGTTGGCATAGTGGCATACACTGAAGAATATGTTTTGAAAGCTAGAAGAATATAACAGGGATGGAAAGAAATTATTTATAGATGGAACGGGCATAATCGTGTTAGTTCTCGGTAAGTGAATCGAATATTTTCCATTTGTAAATATCGTGTGATAGTCGCATTTGGCAATTAATATTCTGCGACTGCAAGTAAACAAACGAAAAATTGTGTATTTTAGATTCAATACTATTATAGCTTAACTATTGAAAAACACTATAAAATTTGATATAGACATGGGATAACCGGTTTGATTTGCCATTCACAAAATATGCAGGAATTGATTCTGTTTGCCTCGATTGCTTTTGATCTGATCATTTGAAAAGCTTTATTGCACAAACATGTGGTATAAGCTGATTCAAAGGAGAAGTAATTTTTGAGTCTTAATTTAATATTTTTATAAACTTTGGACATATTCAGTGTATTAGGACCATGCAAAGTTTCTGTTTATTATAGGAATAGGTTAATACACCTTGCTATTAAATGTCAAGGCAGAGCTTGAGCTGCACAGATTACTGTGTCTTGACTCTTGAATAAGCTGTATAACAGATCACTGGTTTGCCTCATCTTTACTTGATTAAAGATTAAAGAATACATTATTAAAGTCTAAGGTATGATTATATCTCTACTTTTAGGTCTTTATATCAGTGGCATACATGTGATTCACCAGATTACATGTAGCTCATGGTTGTAAAAAAGATGAAATAATACCATTATGTTCTGTTTATCAAACTATCTGCAGTTTTTAATGGGAAAGATGATGACCTCAAAGGATATGAATATTTGGAAAATGAGAAATAAGAAATATAATTTTTAAGCACAACTAACCACAAATATGATTTTTGGTATGTGCAATATATGTGTCATTCGTTCGAAGAAATGTTATCTCTATAATAAAAAATCCTTTCTTCATCGACCTTTTCACTGTCAAAGTTTCCAGATATGATGTCATTAGGTGAATTTTTACTATAAAGATACATTACACTTCTTATTAGAATTTTGACCCAAATATCACACAAACCAAAAATTCTATTTGGTGTTAATAGTCCAACTTTAATTAATGCATGCTTGATTTTTTTGTCATTAACTTGCATTTAACAAAGTTACAGCACACATAGTGCACAAATAATATCTCAGTTTATTTTTTTTAAAAAAAGTCAACAGACAAAGGAGACAAAGTCATGAAAAAAAGAACTGAATTCATGCTACTGTGTACAGGAAAATGTTTATTTAAAAACTTGATCAACAAGAACAGCTCAGGAAGACAGGTTATACAGAATTGAATAATAGTTGAAGGGTCTTGTATAGATGGAAATTATCGAGTAGAAGTTTATATGCATTTATTATACCTAACCAGGAAAAGTTGTGAAAAATCGAAATGCAACTGCTGATCGCTGGCAGAAATCCAACCTGCCCTGCAATTCCGGTGCAGCGCTTGCTGTAACCAATATATACAGGGGTGGAAAAAAAAGGTGAGCACTGCTCATGCGCAGTAAATGGGTCGTTCCGGAAAAGATCCATACTCCCCCCATGGAGGAAATTTCTGCCGTCCGGAGGGGGAGGGGAGAAAAAATTGCTTCTGATAATAGTAAATGTATTAGGAGATCCGAAGGGGGTAGGGGGTTTAACTTCCTATTTCCTCCGTGGGGGTGGTATGGATGTTCTCTGGAATGACCCAATGTTAAACAGCTGCAGGAAATTTGTTTGAATGAAGATTTGCTATTGATTAACATTTGAAGGAAACCTTAACACCCATGTCCCACTATGGGTGCAACAACATATGGTTGACAGACATTATTCCTTGAATTTAAAACCATGGTCAGCTAGATCGCGAACACTATATGTTTATGCACATGCAGATTTAGCACAAAAATACTCTAATACTAATAAAGGAAATTTTTGTCTCCAGGTTGTGCTCCCGGGAACCTGGCTTCTCACTCAATTCAATAATAGTTGAAGGGTCTTGTATAGAAGGATATTTAATAAATGTATA